TTTAAAAAACAACCTTATTGAAGTATAATTGACATGCAGAATACTTGTATGTATGCATTTGTGCATTTAAAGTGTAAATTTTGGTAAGTTTTGACATATTATACACTCATGAAACCATCACCACAATTAAAATAATGAACTTATTTAACACCCTCAAAAAAGTTTCCTCTTTCCTCTTTGCAATCTCACTCTTCCCTGTTCCTTCTTCCTACCCCGATCACTGACCTGCTTTCTGTTGCTATAAATTAATTTGAATTTTCTAGAATTTATACAAAGGAAATTACTCAATATTATTCTTTTTACTTTTTTTTTCTTGACAGTGATTTTCAGATTCATCCATGTTGTGTGAATTAATAGGTCATTTCTTTTTATTGTGGAATAGTACCCCAATGTGTGAATATATGACAATATGTTTATCTAGACTCCTGTTAATGGACATTTGGGTTCTTTTCAGTTTTAGGCTATTACAAAAAAGGTTCCATATGTGGAAGTCTTTTTATAAACATATGAGCTTTTTTCCCCTTGAATAAGTTTAGGAGTGGATTGACTGGGTCAATGTAGTAGGTATATGTCTGGCTTTGTAAGAAACTGACAAACTGTTTATCATTTTCCATTCCCACCATCAATGCATGAGTTCCAGTCACTCTACATTCTTCTCAACACTTGGCCTTTTTTTTTTTAATTTTAGTTATTCTAATATGTCTGTAGTCTTTTTGACAAATCTCCCAATAGTATCATTGTCCTGGGAACAATTTTTAACATGGATTTGTTCACATGGAGAATCTGGTATTATGTATAATGATACTTTTTTAATCCAAACCCATTTGTGATTCAGGCTTGACACATTTTTCTTGGGATATTTGGAAATAAGCTTTCTTACCTTCCTGGGGTAGTGGTGGAATTTTTCTGGTTCCCTTTTCATTGAGCAAGATTACCACTGGAGAGCTGTTGTTGTTTTCACTCAAACTCTTGCTAAAAAAAGCCATATGCTGATGTAGCTCCAGTGTTTATTGTACAGGTTTTCAGGTTCCTCTCAGTTTTTACTTGTTGGTATTTTCTAGACTCATTTTCAAGCTTGGTCATGAAGCAACAATTTAGAAATATATAAAAGACATTTCTCTGTGGTTGAAGCAGAACAGGTCCATGTTCAGTTTACAGTGTTATTGAAACCATAACTCTCTGGTTAGCTTAGTAATATAATTAATATCAGTGGTCCTGGTATTCAGAATTGCAATGCTCAGAGGATTTCCTATAGAAACCTTGGTTTCATGGTGCTTTGGTATAGCAGTAGAATATTACAGGTATGTTACAGACTGGATGGCCTGTATACTAGCCTAAGAGAACCATGGGGAACTAGGCACTGAATTTCACACAATGGAACTACAAATAAGTGAAATAAGCTAGGCACAGAGGGAAAAATACCACATGTTCTTACTCATAAGTGGAAGCTAAGAGAGAACAGATAGATAGAAAGACCACAGTGGTGCTTTGGACTTGTAGAGGGAGAACACATACCTAGGGTTGCTGGGGGTGGAGGGGTGGAGGGAGAAATAGGTTGAGGAGAGATTGGGTGGGGGACAGAAGGAATAATGGCAATTTGTGATAATGGGCACACTGATAGTATTGATCTAATCATCATATCTTGGATGCAGGTGGTGATGGTCAGCTTTATACCCCATGAATATGTGTAATCAATAAACAAAGTAAAATTTTAAATGCATCCAGTTGGTGGGTTAAACACTGCCCATGTTGAATTTGTGTTCATAGTGTCAAACTCCAAATTATATATTTGTCTCTGTGTGTGTAAATATACATAATGGAACATTATGAATAATACATACTATAGTTTTTAAAACTTATGTTGGTATTTACTCTTTTGATGCTTGAGTACCAGAAATCCTACAAGATAGAAAACCCTCATTTTCTTGACTTTCTAAAAGCAAATTGGAAAGTAAGTTTCTTATCTTCTTTATCTCTTCCATCTTTGACATATTTAATGGGATTAAGTATGTACTACTAAATTACATCAAAAATCATTTGTATTTCAGAAAAGAATGCCTGTTTAGGGAGAATATTTAACTCAATGTTTCACAAAACATAAGGCACACACCACTGGGTGGTATTTTGTATGGTACACAGGCAAGCATTTTTTGATAATTCTGTATTCATTTTAATCCTTTCAAGTAATACATGAAGGTAGTGATTTTACGTCAATATACATTGTAGTTGATTTTCGTGTCCCTTTACCCATTCCTCTTTCCCTCCTCCTTCTCTCCCCTCCCCTGCCACTACATCATATCTGTTCACTTGTCTTAACAAGTTCAAGGAATTGTCATGATTATTGTGTCTCCCCCCCCCCTTTATTTGTTTGTATATTTATTTATTTGTTTGTTTATTTATTTTTAGCTCCCACAAATAAGTGAGAACATCGTAGTTCTCTTTCTGTGCCTGACTTGTTATTGTTTAGGAAGATACCAAATACAAAAATGGATCGAATAAAAATTATTATTACAAATAGTATAGGTGAAACATGAATATGGCAGAAATCATAATAGTTATACATGAATCTTTGAAGACTAGGCCACACTATTTTATGGAAAGGTTTCTTTCCTTTTTAATAGCAAAGTTCAGGTATTTGTTACTTAGATAAGTTCACTTTTCTGGGAAGAGAGAGTCTGCAAAGGTCTTTATATTATACTATGTAGACTGCTCTATTCTTCTTGAGAGGCTCAGCTGGGCTTTGGAGCAGGTTGGGATCAAGCCATAGTAAGAACTGGGTGTGGAGTGAGTAGTCTGCCCCTGTTTTTGTGTTCACCAGCATCAATAACCAATAATTGGAAGAAAAGTCATTTTTTCTTTGATGAATTAGCAGTGAGCATGGTAATTTCCCTTCTTTTCTAATGGCGGGGAAGCACTCATTTCCATAGCCCTGGGAGAACATGTCATTAAAGTTTGTCACCCTTAATTTACATTGTAATATGGTCAGTTCTGCCGAATATAGAAAAATGACCTTGTATACTTCTTCCCTTCTCTGTGTGTCCAGGCTTCACCCATCATGAGGACTTCTCTGCAGGCAGTGGCACTCTGGGGAAAGAAGGCCCCTCCCCACAGCATCACTGCCATCATGATCACCGATGACCAGCACATGATCGTGACCGGAAGTCAGGAGGGTCAGCTCTGCCTCTGGAATCTCTCCCCTGAACTAAAGGTTAGTGGAAAGCTGTTGATATTGAAGCAAGCAACACTCACAGTATAAGCACAGCTTGCTTCTTCTATGGCAATGGAAGTGGAATGGTGGTGGAAGGTTTGCATGATTGTTAAAAAGATGCTTGTGAAAGTAATAAATTGGTTTTACTTCTGAATTTGGAGAAATTAAAGTATTATATGGATCAAGTTCATATTTGAAAATTATGTTATGAATATTGCTAATCTTAGCTAATACCAACTAAGTGTTATAATTCTTTAAGCTATGCTGTGTTTTACTATTTGGTACCCTGAATTATATGTTCAAGTAACTGAACTACAGACATGTAAGTATAATTCTAAAAATTATGGCTCATTAATGTAAACAAGGCGAACCCCTGAAAACCACCATTACGTAAATGAATAATATCTTAATTATTTGGTTGTTTCTGCTGGTTTGGCCTTCTTGCTATTCTATTAGTCTCTGCTTGCCTGTGATTTTTACAGATCACATCAAAATGCTCAAAATCCAATTTACTATTGTTGTCCTCCTATTTCAGAACCTGACCTCACCTAGGATTTGGCTCATTGATTAGCAATTAATTGTCCCTTTCCCAAGTTATAAACATTTAACATATTGGAATAGATATTTGCTTAAGTCTAGCAGTTTCTAGAACCAATTTGAACATTTAAACTAATGATGCAGTTAAAGTATACTGCCCTCATTAAGAAACCTTTTAAAGATCAAAGACTATTTTTAGCCTTTAAAGTTTGTCACTTTAAAACCTAAATTAACAATTAATTGTAATTCTATTTTATAGCGTCATTCATTAACACCTCCTATCACTGAACAGTTCTACTGCAGGACTGCTAAGAACCGCATAGCCGATCAGCTCAGCTCAATGTTTATGAAAATCTTTGAAAGAAGGAAGGGCTTTTATTACAACAGTTGTGCTGAAAATAACGGCTCTCACATTTATTTTCTGTTCTAGTTTAAACTCAGACTCCTAAATGGCTTAAAATGTCTTGCTACTCTTTTTAATGTTGAAGAATATTGTTTTCAGCTGGAGTAGTTGTCTAGTTATATATACATATGTATATATGTTGCAATAAGCTTAAGAAATTAGGAATCCTAGCTTCTGTATCTTTATGTATTCAGCATTTGTTCAGCGCGCACTCATTGCATGCATATTATCTATTAGGCAGTACGCTAGGTTCAAGAGTTCAAACATGAATGTTGCAATAAGCTTAAGAAATTAGGAATCCTAGCTTCTGTATCTTTATGTATTCAGCATTTGTTCAGCACGCACTCATTGCATGCATATTATCTATTAGGCAGTACGCTAGGTTCAAGAGTTCAAACATGAATGGGAAGACCTGGTGCTGGCTGCCCAAGAGGTTGCAGTGTATATACATAATTTGCCATAACTGCATAAGTAAGTGTCCTGGGTTTGTTTCCCCACTTTATACTGTGTTAAGTGATTATATAGTTTTATAATAATAGTATTTATATACTATTATAATATGTAGTTATATACAAGGTACTCTAAGTAGAGAATGGTCTACACTGCATATTCTGTTGGGAAGCTAGGCCATGCTCTCCTTAGAAGCAGATCTTTTGCTTGGGGTTAGAACAGTGATCCTTAGTGAGGGACAGTTTTGCCCCCCAAAAGACATTTGTTAATATCTTCAGACACTTTTGGTTGTCACAATTGAAGGAAGGAAGATGTTACTGGCATCTTGTGGGTAGAGGCCAGGAATGCTATAAATATCCTATAGTGCACATGATACCCCCTACAACAAAGAATTTCTCTATCTAAAATGCCAATAGTGCTGATCTTGAGAAATCCAGGGTTAGAGATATGGGGTGGGAATGGGAATCAGATCAGCAGGAGTGGAAGAAAAAAGGTCATTCTACAAACAGCCTGTACTTGGAGGAAAGCAAGGAGCTCTCTGTTGCAGGAGCTTAGGTGTGAACAAGGATCAGAGAGAGATGAGGCCTGAGGGGAAAATGAGGCCTAGTGATGGAGAAGTTTAGATGATAAGTAAAGGAGTTTATATTGAATCCTCTAGGCAAGGAGAGCCATTGAAGAGAGTTAAGTTATGGATGGGATCAGCTTTGTGTTTTGGAAATTCACTGTGAGGACATTGTGAAAAAGTTAATAACATAAATAAGATATTGATTAGTAGGAAGGCGAGATGCTCCATGTGAGGGTTTTCCTTAACATTTTCTATGGCTAAACTTAGGGCCAGAATGAATGAACAACTTCTCTTACTTTCTCACAAATCTTGTCCCATATGACACTGATCAAGTAGCAGGGAAAGCTCCAGACTGCAAAAATCAAGGGCGTTTTAAATTTTTCAACAGATTCTTTTTTTATCTGTAAGGCAGTCAAGTCAGTGGTCGATCATTAATATTTTCATACTTAATAGCTTGATTTTATATTTATTTTAAAAATGTAATTTGGGTAGGGGAAGAAAAAGGGAGATCTTGAGGACATGAGAGACTGTAAGAGAGGACGTAACTATGCGGGTGAGTTGAAGCCAATGGGCATCTCAGGAGAGGACAGCAGGAAGGGGAGAAGGGAGCTGTAGGGAGGGGGGTGTAAAGTGAACAGAGAGCCGTTTATTTCCTCTTCATACTAATTTGGAAAGCCATTCTGCCTTCCAAAAGGATTTAGGTAAGAGAACATATCAGGTTCTGTGCTTTTAAACATTCACTTGCCACCACATAAAGTGGGAAAACAAACTCAAGGACACTTATGCCATCATTAGGCCAATTATACAGATGACTTTTGTTCTCCTTCAGGTTTCTCTGAGTCTAGTATAGGAGAGAGCCTTGTAAATAGGAAGCCTTGTAAATAGGATAGTAAAGCAATGTGATACTTTCTGTCTCTATGAATTTGATTACTCTACATACCACATATAAGTGGAATCATATAGTTTTTGTCTTTTTCTGACTGGTTTATTTCACTTAGTATAATGTCTTCAAGGTACATCCATGTTGCAGCATGTGACAGCATTTCTTTCCTTTTTAAGATTAAATAATATTCCATTGCATGTGTATACCACATTTTCTCTATCCATTTTTCCATCCATGCACACTTCGGTTGCTTCCACATTTTGGCTATTGTGAATGATGCTGCTATGGACATTGGTGTACAAATATCTGTCTGCATTTCTGGCTTCAGTTCTTTTGGGTTTATACCCAAAAGTGGAATTACCAGCTCATATGGTAATTATACTTTTGAGTTTTGAGGAACCTGCACAGTGGCTGCACCACTTTACAGTCCCGCCACTTTACAGTGCACAAGGTTCCAGTTTTTCCTCATCCTCTCCCACACTTGTTTGTTTGTTCATTTGTTTTACAGTAGTCATCCTAATGGTGTAAAGTGGTATCTTGTGGTTTTGAAGAAAAAGGCTTTCTGAGGGTGATGCCTGAGCTGAGTTCTAAAGGATGCACAGGAGTTGGAGGTGGGAGGAGATTACAGACAAAGGGAATAACAAGTGTGTGTGGAAGGCACAGACATTTTGCTTTCAGGGAACTGATAAAAGTAGTTGAGTAGACTTGGAATGTAGAAGTGACAGGCACATCTGGAAAGGATACAACTGATCCAACATGGAATCTGATGTGCTGAGAGATTTAAATTTTTTTTTTATAACTAGCAAGAGTTAATAGCACATGATAATTAAAAGTAGTGGTGATATTAAGGTCTTTTGGAGATATTTTATGTGAGAAGATGACAATACTATTTGAGTATACTTGTGTTTTAGAGTGTCACTTCCTAGTAATATGAAGGGCATATTGAAGGAAGGGGTAGATAAGATCAGGGACAGGGACTGTGGGTAGGAGGCTTCTACAGTGATTTAGTCAAGAAAGTTTTTGAGCGTGCCAAATCAGTGGCAGTGGGGATGAAAAGGAGATAAAAAAGTGGAAAGATGTTAAGAAGAGAGAGTGGACAGAACTGAGAAAGTGGTTGTATGTGTGTAAAGGAGATGAAACAGAGAAGCACACCTGCCAGAGTTGGAGTTTGGGAAATGGGTGGGACTGGTGGGATGATGGTATTGCTTATTTGTATAAGGGATGAAGGGTGTTAGAGAATAAGAGTAGGGAGGGAAAGAAGGTGATTTAAGTATCCAAGTGTTCAGAAGATTGGGTATCTATCTCAGTCTTTCTCTGTCCATGGGTGGTGAGATGGGAGGGTGTAGGGGAGCTAGAAAATAAGTATCTCCCTTCCTAGTTTTTTATCACATGCATAGGTTATGCATGCTGCCTCCAGGCTTAGAGTCTGGCTCCCACAGTCCTCTAGTTTTTCCAGAACTTTGTAAGATCTACCAATAAGGAATTTCTCTGAGTCCCATGCTAGGAACATCCTTACTTGGGTTTTCTGATACTGATTGCTGGTATTTACCATACTTTTGAGCATAGAGAAAGGTGAGGTGGACATCTTCACAGATTCTCTTTTGCTCTGTGCTATTTTTCCTCCTGTCTAGTACTCAGAAGTATACACAAGAAAATGAATAACAGCAATGTGTGTAGAGAAAGGATGGAGATCTGGGTCAAGTTCTAGCCCTGATACTTACCAACTCTGTGATATTGGTCAAAAGACTTATTCTTTGAGGTTCGATTTTCTCACCTGTGAACGGGGGACTTGAACACTGTTCATGGTTGCACCAGTGCTTGGAATATGGTAGATGTTCATAAAGTTGTGTGTACTTTTCCCTTTCCTATTTGTGCTATTAGAAGACCTGGGGTACAGCTGGGAGGGATAAGTGCTTCACAGAGGTAAAGCCAGTGAATAACAGTAAATGTCTCCTGGATTTCAGCACGACAATGACTTGGTGTGATTGTAGAATTTTTTTTTTTATTTTGTTATTCTTCACAGCAGTTCTAGAATATGGTAAAATGAAGAGATTATAGCAAATTATCACAGTTTATTCAAATACACGTGGAGATTTAATAGCAGAATAAGGACTTCATATGAAAGGCAATGGTATTCCATTCTGATATTTGGTCCACAGTGGATTTTCTCTGGAGGAGGGATGTTCTCTGATTCACTGGTTAATTTGGCTTTTAACAGATTGGATAGAAATTAAATTAATAGAGGTATATGTTCTGAGTGGGATAACAGGGAAAGACAATATGTTGTTTTCTGAGAC